CAACGACTTCAGCAAGAGCAATTTATAAGTAATTTTCATTTTGGGTACTCCGAAGGGAAGACATCATTAATTTGCCCTCAAGGGGGAAGGCGGCACTTGCCAAAAAATATTTACAGGCAAAACAGAAGCTGGCTGGCAACAACAACCACTCCTCCCCAGAAATCCCACACTTATTGTTGGGTTCCCAGCGGAGCAAAAGAAGTCGAAATGAAATCAGCAGAAAATTCAATGAACATGGCATGGGTTTGGTTTGGTTTGGTTTACGTCTGGGTTTGGGTTTGGGTTTTGGCTTGGGTGGGTTCTCCAGCGATATCGTCCTGACGTCCTGGCGGTGGTTGATGACTGCAATTGATGGCTGGCTGGCAACCAACACTCCCCCACACCTCAGGTCCAACCCACATCGTTTGGTTAGCGCAGCAGCAGGCGAAGGGGTTGTGATTTCTGGATGTCTCTCTATATGTCTAAGGGGCGGCGAGAATGATATAGACTGGGGAGAAAGATAGAGAAATGGTTGAGGGAGTGGATGGATGGGAATGGAAGTGGAGTGGAGTGGAATGGAGGTGACGTGCAAATGCCAGAAAAATATTATGTGACATGATAAATATTGCACACTGGGGGATTTTTTGAGGCTATAAAAGAAGCGGCGGCGGTCGCTGTTGTTGCTGTTGCTGCTGTCGTTGTCAACATCATTGCCGAAATAATATGACAGATTCATTCATGATGATGCTGATGAGGATGATGATAGGTTGTTGCTGTGGTTCCAACACCACATTGCGGTCCCCACAGAGTGCTACTTCTGCGGTGTGACATTGCAAGGTTCAGGATACAATGCTGGATGTTGTGCATTCATCGGTAGGTATGCAAAACAGGGAGTACAAATACAAATACTGGGAATACAAATAGGAGGGGATACAGTGCACCCTCGATAGAATTCATAGAAATAATCAACGATTGTTTATATAGCAACCATATGATATACCATAAATAGAACGAGTGAGAATGCACCTTACTATAAGTAGATTTGGGGGTGATTGATATAATCAAGAGAAAGAATAAGTCCGTAATCAGGTCTCTTCTTCTCTTAGATACTCTCTCCATCAGCAATGGCAAATGCTTCAACAACGAGTTGTTTTTAGAAGTAGAAGAACTTAGAGTAAGAGTTACCTTCGGTTAGCTACCAAATCATATCCATGGCTAACTCTGAAAGCGCTTTGCGGCCGGGCGTAAGTGTCCGCTGAACTCTGGAGCACCTCCCAGCCTTTGCATTTCATCCATCAACACCTGAGCAGAAAAGGTGCCGCAGGACCAGAGGCCCAAGATGAGAAAGAATGTCGCCGAGTGGCGAGGACGACGACGGACCGCACTTAAAGCGCTTCAGAGAAGCAGGAACAGAAGAAGCGGCAGCTGGCCAAGTACCGCGTCGACATCGTCACCATCATCATCATCGACAACGTCGTCGTCGTCGTCGTCATCGTCGTCGCTGTCGTCCTTCCTGGCAACACTCTCAATTAAAATGTCCTCGCTTGGTAAGCGTGAGCGTTCAAGAGGCCATGAAAACTCCTTATTACACGGTGTCAGCGGTCCAGGCCAAACCCAAACCCAACCCAAAAACCTCAACCCATCGCACCACCACAGCACCACTGTGCACCACTATGAAACCGCATCTAACCCAAACCCAAACCCCTGAGGGTTCTTGGCACCTACGTGTTAATAACGCGAAATGCGGTGAAATTTTTGTATTTTCAAGCACGCACTCGAGAGGGCCACGCCTCGCAGTCCTTGCCACGGCCCTGCCGCTGCCCCTGCCACTGCCACCCTCTCCTGAGCATTGGAGAGGAGAGGAGAGTGCAGTGTAGCTTGAAACAGAAACCCTCCACGCAGCAAAAAGAAGCACAGTAAAAACAAGCAAGAATGCCACAGTCGACACTACGACTATGAGGATACCCGCCATAAATATCTCAAAGATACGGAAATAGTCAAGGAATCAAATTTCAAGAAACTTTTTCTCATTAATTAACTTTTAAAACCATTTCGATCTCAACGAATTTCTAGGGATTAGTGGATAATAGTCTTCCTATACAAATAAGAACCACAGTATTTCTCACATAAATATCTAGAAAATTTGTTGTGAGGTATTTCATGCCTCTCCACAAATAAAATATACCCTAATACTCTGCTTGGCATAGGGTATTCGAATTTTTGTAAGCCAGAAATCATTGAGCGAGTTGGCAACACTTGGTGGCCAAAAGGAGACCGCCCTGGGGGAGTGGGGTGGCACGGGGTGGCCTGGAGTGGGATGGCGACTAAAAAACACTTTAAAGAAAAGAAAAATTGTATTTTTGAAAAATTTTGTTTCTTTTTCCACCCATCGCTGGGAAATCTGAAACACTTCAAATATTTGGCGAGAAGAAAGCCAAGGGAAAATGTTTGGACAAGTTGACGCCAAGAGTTGGTTGGGAGGTGGGCCAGAGCGGGGGCAAAAGGGGGAGTAAATGGAGGAAATGGACATGGGAAATTTTAAACCCACTTGGCAGCTGCCTAAAGGGCAGCCAGCACTTAAAAGGCCCTGCCCCACTCTCGAACCCTCTGCAGCGCACTCACTCCCTTTGCCTTCGTTTGCTTTTTCAATATTGACATGAAAATATTTACACAAAAATACAAATCGCGACCTCACTCTATATCTATAGCCTTGATTCAGGGGGGAGGGGTTGGAATGGTGCGCCGGATGTCCGGGTATGATAATTGTTTGACTTTTTTATACCCTTGACATACTATGGAGTGTATGAGCTAAACTAATGCCAAAATAAATATATTCCTTTATTCAGATTTGCAGTCCTTGTGTTGCTTATTACAGATCCAGTAGAGTACTTTCCCAGTCGTATATGAATGAAAACCATTTGAGAACATCACAATTGCTTTGGCAACGATCGGTTATAAAAGTAAGAATAATATATGTTAGACATCCACTAAATCATTGCATCATTGCCCTAAAGAATCCCTTAAAAGTATATCCCCAACTTCGGTCCTTCCATTCCTGCCCTTTAGAATGTTTTCCTCTGTGTGCTGTGTTTTGTGTTGTGTCTGCTTGTCGTCTACAATTTCCACATGTGGCTTTTCCTTGAAAGATTTTTCTGCTTTGGCAAAAGTTTCGATGCAGTGCTGGAGGGCACCAATAAACGTCAGACGCGTGTCAGGGCGCGTCCTTTGTATATTGACACCTCTATGGCTGATTTGATCCGAGAACTTTGGAGAACTTCGAGTGTGGCATCGATGAGGGGCTGGGGGCAGGCAGACCGCGAGTACAGGCGGTACACAGGATGTGCTGCGCGGTTGTCATCTGCGATTGGACAAATCGCTAAAGTTACGCCGGAAAATTGCAGCGGTTCAAGTGGTTTTGGAAGGTTTGGATAAAGAAGGCATTCAAGAATTAAAGCCACAACAATGGGGCCATACAAACAGCAAGAGAGGTGTCTTAAAATTATCCTTTTGTGAGTTTAGAAAGCTGGTAAATGTTAAGATACTCTTGAATGAAGGCCAAAACTTGGGCACAGTCCAAAAGCTGTATAAAAGTTGGCCTTAAAGAACTACAGACAACGACAGGAGCTAAAACAAAGCTGACAGAATATGTTCCCTGAAGAAGGTGTTGCATATGATGTACCTCCATCGTTGATGGATTCAAAAGCCATTCCCATCTGCTTATTGCCAAAGAAACTTAGTTCCTCTCTACTATTTCACTCTTCCCTCTTATCTCTTATCATTAATGAGAACTGCAAACACACATGCAGAGAATTAGAGAAAGTAATGGAGAAGGTATAAATTGAAAAAATCTTCTCTGTAAATCCCTTCAACTAATAAACTGATAACTAAACCGAATCAAACGTGTCGCTGAACACCGAAAAATCCTAGAGAGAGACCCGGCCTGGACCCCTTTTTTTATTCCAGGACAACCGACCCCTGGTCATGTGTTCCCCCCCCCTTTTCCCAGCTGAAGAGCTGCGAAACTCGAACTGTAAACTTATGTCAGTGGCACGCGTCCACGGCACGTGACCCCCAACATGAAAATCACGCTCAAGATCGCTCAACGGAACCCAGAGAACAGCGAACGGGGTGGGCGGGGGTATTGGGTAGGGCTATGGCTGATGGTGGGAGTGGGAGAAAGGGGAGGGTGATGAATGGTACAGGGTACAGATGCTTTTAAATTTAAATCGAATCAAATTGATTTGCTTACAGTTCCAGTTCTCAGGTTTTCGACTCATTTTCGCCTACGAACGAGTACCAATTGGCACGCCCACTCAAATGGATACAACGGTGGGGGTAGGGGTGGGGACTGAGGACTGAGGACTGAGGTTGCGGAGGAGGTTTTTGGGAAGAGTGCTGCGAGAGCAGGGGACACCCTGCTCGTGCCGTGCACTCTTTTGTTTAGCCATTTGACAAGTGTTTTGACAATATTTATTTGAAATTTCTACAACTACCACACCACTCTCTCTCTCTCTCTCTCTCTCTCTGTCTCACACCGTAACGTACGCTGAAGCTTCCCTCCAGCAACCCCGACTCTCCTGTAGAGGGCAGAACCACTGCCTTTGGGGTAATTTGATTTCCCGCCAACAGCCACCATCATCTGCATCCTTGACGTTGGACACGTTTCTGCCTAATGGAGTTGCTCGAGTGGCGTGAATTTCAATTAAATTAAATCAAAATGTTGCATTTTTTATTAAGCCCATTAGCAGTACAAACACACACACACACAGCCACACACTCGCGTGTGGCACCCCCTACCACCCCCCACGGGGACCCTTCACGTAGGTCCCTAGTTGGTTAAATTAAGTTAGATACCGCTCCACGCACCAAAGAATCTGTATCTTACTGTGAATAATGAAGGGCCAGAGCTTGACGTTGCCTGAACAACGATGGGAGCAATGTTGCATCCTCCCTATGGGTAGCATGAGGAAGGAAAATGTGTGCGCTTCATTCAGGGTCTCTCGCGAAGATTTGTTGGGCTTGTGTGTTCTCTTTATTGATCTGTAATATTTTGGGGCTTATACAAAACCAAGAACAAGAGATTTTATCAGGTGTCGTTGCTTATCGTATGTATACACGGATTCCATGGAATCTATACTTTATCTAAAAAAGTTGAATCCCTTTGGCATGGGTGGACGTTTCTTTGAATCAAGCGGGTTTCAAAATTGAGTGTTGGCTCGTATTCATCCTAAGAGGATGAGAGGATGTTTTCGTAGATATTTTCAAGAATTTTGTCGAGGATGTTTTCTTGTGGGACAGCAGGCGGTCTCTCCGGCGACAATATCTCTATGCGGTTTAGGAAATTCGCCTCTGGTTCAGCATTTAACAGTTGCAAGTAGTCGCGGAACATTTTCATAGAAAGTTTTGAGGTACAGTTGAGGTACGGACATAGGGGATCCTTTATCCAAATGCGTTTGTTCTGAAGTTGCTTGAATAAATACCCTCCGTGCTCCTGTCGATTCTCATAGTCCTCGCGGAGCCAATAGATGACTGCCCAGAGAACCTGGAACACAGACAACAGTCGGAAGACAATTTGGAGACTGAATTCGAATTTGAATAAGGGAATGCGGGGACAGGAGTACATACCTCAGACTCTGACTGCACGGCCAGATGGCTGGAGCTCAACAGATCGTACAATTGCTTCGCAGTGACTTTCGCGAACTCCTTGGAGGCAACCAGAATCAGAAAGGAGTGGCCCACACGCGGCAGCATCTCTCGTGCAAGGCGGTCTCCTTTCTCTCCCTTCTCGATGACCTCAAAGTAGAAACGCACGGAATCCTTCACCAAGTAGCCATCCACGTCATTGAAAATTGTCAAAATGCTTTTTTCAAGTGGACTGCATTTCAGGAAATCAGCGACCATCAGCATGTTGATCATTTCTTCGTATGGGATCGCGGCATGATTCGTAACCATCCAACCGTAGGCAAATATGAACCTTTTGGAGCTCAGGCAGGAGGCAGTCAGCTTGAGGGTATGTCCTATCTCGAGTGTACTCGAAAAGATCTGGCAATTGGCGACCAGCACAACTTTGCTGCACTTAAAGACCTTGTCCTCGACACTTACAAGCACTGGATTCTTGCACAACACCTGCAGTGGCAAGAGAAATGTACGTACATTACGGGGAAAAGGGAGCCATTTCGGTGTCTGGCCTGGTTCCTCTGTGGTTTTCATCTCAGTAACGCTGATTGCTTCTTTATCGTCCCGGACATCCATAGCTTTTTGTTTTATTTTATTGTTCGTTTTTCAAAACCTAATGCTTTTTGAGTAGAGAAGGAAAGAGTTGTAAAACTGTTAATGACACTTACAATTTTTCCGACAACTCTGATATCATTTCGTATGTATTTTCCCTGCTGTGAGAAAAATAGCAAAGTGTCTCTTGGCAAATATTAATAATAATTACTCGATCCATCGAGCTGTGCTACCTTACCTTCTTGTTTATTTGTACCTTGGGCGCAACTGGTACGGATGCATGGGCGTAGATTGGACTGGGGTGGTGGGAGAGGCCGCCATAAACTCCGTCGTGTCGACTCGCCATTGTTGCACGTGCATTAAGATTAATGCTGCAGTGCTTGCGAGAGAGAGAGTGGGGTGGGGTGGGTTTTCAGCGCGACTTTGAGTGGCAATAAACAATGCAAAGTGAGTGGGAGAACCTCTTGTTGTTGCCACAATTAAGAGGCTCCCCATGAGTACCGTCGCTCACCTGCCCATCTCCCAGCCACCTTCCGCCTCCACTGTCCATGTCTCCTAGGGTTGTCCATTAGTCAAACAGGTAATTGCAAATTAAAAACCCCAAACAATAAGAACAAGAAGAAGAATATTAAGAACAAGAGGGTAAGGCGGCGACAGTTAAACAAATGCGAAATACATTTTGCAATTAACCAAATGTGCGGGTAAGAAAGCCTGGGTAATTTTAGTCCCATTTACATATATCCCGAGGACCAAAACGAAGAAAGGAAAATAATTTTTCGTGGGATTTTCCTGTCTTGAAACCGTTTCTGGTTTGAAACTTGGCTAAGAAAAGCGTTCAGTCCTTTTTCGCTCAATCTGGCAGCTCATGGCTAATTTTGAAATAAAACGCCGATAGGTCCCGCACAAAAATACCGATATTATTTGTTCATCGATAAGTAAAATCAAAAGTTGCGGGTATATCTGATCAGAGAACGTGAAACAAAAAAAAAATAGTGTCGATTTCCCCTGAACACGGAAAGTTTAATTATTAAAGATTTTACGTCCACAAGAAAATCACATCGAGATCAATACAGACAATAACATAAATAGGTCCGTAAAGGTCAATCTGCATAAGAGACATTATAGATTATGTTACAAAACAGCTTGAAATGGGGTATATATATGTCCATACCTTCGGGTGACGAGCAACATACCAGCAACGTGTAAGAAATAACGAAATGTTCTTTTCACACTAACGTTTTTTAATTTAATTTTTTGTTCACCCTCTTGTTTATAAGCAACCAAAAAAAAAAATATCTAAAATTAGCCGTTCTTGCCGAAAATTTATTTGTCAATTGCAGTTCAAGGGAAATATATCGTGGGTTTTTGTAAGTTAAGAGGAAAAGAATTTACAAATAGTAATATATCCCACGGTTTTACTCAAGTTGTTCAGCTGTTTAAATAAAGGGGGCTTAAGTGGGCTAAGTTCAGTTATGTCGATAAACCCACATCGATAACAACAACAAAAACGATACGACGCGGCGTGCCAAAACAAAAAACATTAAATATATAAAATGTAACCATTATAAGTATAATTTGTTTCAAAAAACATAAAACTAAACGTAAGCCCCTGTGGCCCGCATGCGGAAGCTTAATAGAGCAGCAGCAGGCAGAGAACCAGAAAGTAATGGAGCAGCCGTACAAGAATTGATTAAACAAACGCCTCCACACATCCCCCGTCAAACTGAGAGTCATCTCGCGTGGAAAGTGTCGACAGAGAGAGCATAAATAATGCACAAAATGGTTAAATTATTCCTCAGGTAAATGGCAAAAGAAAAATGCATTCTACAACCGCGGCTGTCTACCGCTCTCCATCTCTCTTATTTTGTTGTTCCTCTCTGCCTTACGCTACGTTTGTATTTTTATGAATGACGTAAGCGCGTTGTGCTTTTGTTGTTGGGCAACTCAAAACGGAATATAATATGTGTGCGTGTGTGTGGGAGCAATGGGAGATTGTGATCATGTTGAATTAATATAAGGTAAGGCATTCCTAGAGATCGGTTTAACAACAGACGATTTTCAATGCGTGCAATAGTGGACAGATGAAATATGAAACAGTAAGAGGGGCAAAGCCTCACCCCACATTAATACACTTTGAGAGTGTCGCGCTCCCCACACACACAGTCAGGAATAAAAGTGGCGTCGTTGGTTTTTGTTTTTGTTACTCGGAAAACGTGCTCGAGAGCTTAAGAGAGCCCCATCGCTCTCGCTCTCTCTCTCTCACTCTCTCTCTTTTGGTTATTCTTTTTTTGGTCAATGACCTAAGCTTTTTAGTCCGTTAGTTGGATTTCTTTCATCTGCTTTTGCATTTCGTTTTGCCAAAGCAGCAGAAACTTTTTTGTTGGAAAAGTTTACTTTATACTCTTCCATGGGTGTGTGTGTGTGTGTTTGCTTGAAACGAAGGTTAATTTCGCTTTACCGCTAGTTGTGGGGCAGCCTTGGGGCTGGCTTCGTATTCAAAATGTATTTGAACGCGTGCTGAGTGCCTGCCCTCCCCTCTCCCTCTCCTTTTCGCTCTTTAAACAAAAGCGAAGCTGCGGCTGCCATTGAGAGCACATGTTATAGTGGGTTCAATGTGAAGAGGTGAGGTGAGAAAATACCAGTAGAACGTCTTGTTTTCCTAGCTATACGTCCTTGACCTTTTGTGTGGTCACATACATACATACATACATAGGTATGATCTTGATCTAAAAAGACTCTTTCCGCTCAATATTCTTAAAGGTCCTCTGGGTCGCAGTGCATAGACCCCCGATTTGAATAGTTTAATAATCCATTATAATTATAATCGACTATACGATCCTACCGCTTTTTGGCATATTCGAACATCTGCCTTGAGCGCTCAAAACGACTTTCGAACGCCAATGTCCCTCCACAAGAGAATACACTGTAGTTCTCTTCATTTCCTATAAGTGTTTTTGAAAGCTTTCGTGTACCACTCGATCATCCACTTTACTGTCGCTGTTCTTATTGTTGTGACACTCGGACAATTATTAAGTTAATGCACTTAATTATGGTGAAGGCGGAAACAGGAATGCAATGAAAGATGTAACACTTTGATAAATTCCTAGCAATAACAAAAGTGAGCAATAGCAAAAACAACAGCCCACAAAATTAATAAACATCAACACGTCGCTGGGCTGTGGGGCAGAGGCGGCAGCGGGGAAATAACAATGCGCGTGTTTATTAACAAATAAAATAAATATTTTTGTTGTCACATAAAAGTTGTACACAGTCAGCCCATTGTCGAAAAGCAGCGATTTCGAAGAAGCAGCAACTGCAGCAGCCGTCTGTTCCGTTGTTGACGATACCCTGCCTGAGAAAAGGTATCTGCGACTTGTTGAGGCTACACACTAAACAAATGAGAGTGTTAAGGGAGTGAACTCTGCAAAAGTTGATAATCCAAGAAAGAAAATAACTCCAATTTACGTTGTTTTTGGCATTGGTGTAAATTCGAATAGATTCACATTCTATATACAAATGTACCAGCTTGGCCATTTATTAGGGTATTCAATTAGTGTCATATCAATCACTTTTGTTGCTTCCTTCCGTTCTCCTTGTGGTTGTGAGCGCAGACCTAGAAGAGTACAAAAGCAAAGAGTCAGATGTAGTGAGGTAGAAAGATAGCGACAATTAAGGTGAGAGAGAGTGTCGTGTGGCGTGGGGTGGGAAAAGATCTTTTGTGTTTAGACACTCATTTCGGCGGCAAGCAAGCGAGTAGTGTCCAGTGCCGTTAGTTCAGTCTGATGAAGGGAATACATATATCGAAAACAGCGTAAGAGGAAGGGTACGTACGCGTGCCATGGAAAACACGAAAACAATTGTGGCATAAATCAACATCAATGTAAAATCAACAACGTCATGCCCCAATATAAACAGTACAGTAACAAAAACAATCTTGGCCTGAGAAAACGGAAATGGAAATGTTTTTGAAAATATACGAATAAATGGGAAAATTGGCAATAAGAAATCGACAATTTTGTGGCTCTGCCTGACATAAAATATTTGTGGCAACGAAAAAAAAAAAAAAAAAACAAACCATCATTACTGAAGGTCGTTTTTGTTTGCGGTGCGATAAACTTTTTGTTGTAGTTTAAAGCAAATATCACTCACACATATAAAAACAAAGCATGAAATGCTAGTGGATGTGTGTGTATCTGTAGGCTTTGTTTCTTATCTTTTTGGGTGGCTTTTGTATGGGTGTGTGTGTGATGGATACTTGATTGAATGGTTTATATGTATTTTATGTTTCGGGTGCTGCTTATCATCCCAATAAAGAGAGCAACATCGCTCTCCCGCTCTTCCTTCCACACAATCAAACAATTTGTCAATCAATCAATCAATCAGTTGCCAATCAGCCCGCTGCGCCCTAGAAGCAATCGTCATACGAGTACGAATATGTGGGTGAGGTGAATTCTAGATTCACTCTTGACTCTGAACGGTGATGGAGGGAGGTTGGAGGATGAGCAAGCCGCAGAGCTACACAAAAGCAGAAAGACTGACTAATCGAATACATTGTTTGTGGCAATTATTTTCCATTTAGACAACATGATTCCGTGCTTTACGTATTCGCAATCGGAAACGGGGTCTGTCGAGGGGTAATGTTTGGCTTCGGGTGTTATCCGCACTTATCCGAGTGTTTCTTTTTGTCATTTGTTCGTTTTAATACTATCGGTACACTTATCTCTTGCTGTCCATTGAACTCTATTCCGTCTTTGACCTATGGGCTGTGTTATCCGATATGAAAATATACCTTCAAACGGTTCCAAACAGCTACCCCGTACTCCCATTTGGAAACAATTCGACGTAGAGAAATTCCAGAAACGCCTGGGCTTATTTGCATTACTTAAAAGCTGTTATGAGTGCTTTAAGACCCAAATATATTAATTTCTACCAAAACGGGCTACGTTATCCGTCGTGTTATCCAGATAAAGCTGTCATCAAGTAACTTTTGTTTTATCCCGAATTACTTAAGCACTGATTAGTGCTTATCCGATGGCACATTACAATCTTTTGTTGTTATCCGAATGAAAAATGAGCTGTAATTTATTATTCTCTTAAAATTCGATTCTGTTTTTACTCCCTTGCATTGTCGAATCATTGACCCAGGAATAATTTGAAGCTCTTCCCATTGTGATCTTGACATTACACACACAGCACATTGTTATCCGCGATTATCCGGAACCACAAATCATGTGAACCTCAATGTTTTCACCTTGTCCGCGAGCCAGTGCTCGTGGCCAGCAATTAATTAGGCTTAGATGGATTTATAACCACAATATAACCCGAGATAACCCAGCAGCCCACATCGGCGCAATGGCATCATCATCATCGCGAAATGCTCATAAAAGGCGCGCCTATGACAGCATCTCCTCTCCCCGTCGCAGTAGTAGTAGTAGTAGTGGTAGTAGTGTTGTGTAGTGATGGAAACATTTGAGTATTTTTGGCAGCAGATCGCAACGAGCGAATGAGCGTCTTGGACATGTGGGCAAAAATCTTTTTGAACTTTCGCATTCGCGGTGGCAAAAGCGAAACAAGTGCCAAGAGCAAACCCTGACACACATTATAATTTGTAGCAACGCCCTCTTTTTATTATACTTTTCTAAACATATTTGTTTCCCCTCCAAAAATATATACATGTATATTTTTTTTTACCTACACGCGCGCATAATCTCATTTTGAGACGGCATCAATACATTTTTGCGACCGGGCTACAGATATAGTCAGATTTACTCATATATACCACATACATACATATATATGTATGTATGTACATATGTATATTCTCATCTATTTGGCAGATTGTCTTCAGCACGCCCACAAACAGCTGTTGACAGTCGCACGAAAAAGAAATAGAAGGAACGAAACGAAACGAAACGGAAATAACTAATTTACCTGTTATCCCTATTTTGGGCGCAACCTACGGGGGCGGTGGACCCATTGAGCCGCTTATCGAGGCACTTATCTGTGTCCCAAAGGGAGCTCCACGCATTCCCCATTTCCCATTGTTACTCAGCGCCGCAGTACCCGGAGCACCGGCATTATTGGTCAAACTATGCCCAATCTAAGTTCACATTTTTTGTGGCCATGAGTAATGTGCAGTAATTAGTAATTATTAGGATACCGGCACTTGCTACTACAAATCAGAGGAAGGGGGAGACCCACGAAAGTCTCCTCATCCCCCCCGGAAGAGCGGCCACCACTGAGCGATTTATTTGGAATCAAAGATTTGATCTAGCAATCAAATCATCAAGTAATCAAAATATTGCAACAAATTTTCCACTTTTTAATATAAATATTTAAATATTTATTAATGATAAATTGATGTTTTATTATATTGCTTAAACGTTGAAAACGTTTGCCTGTGGATACAATAATCAGAATGTGAAATGCAATTAGGAATACCTAATATGTGTCATTTAATTATGCCCCCACGCTCAATGGGATTTTAAGCTCTTAACGATTCTGATCAAATTATTATTTGTATAACTTTTGTGAATGCGTGTTCGCGTGTGTGTGTGTGTGTCCCATTCGATTGGTGGTTGTATGAATTAATTTTGTTGGGTTCCCTATTCCCAAAAACAGTGTTCAACATTTGAGAATTGACCACGCGTGGGCCAGTGTCTTGCTGTTGTTGTTCCTCTGCTTCCAACGCTGGTCAAAAATGTGCTATACCTCGGAATTTGTACAGTTTAAGGGGATGTTCACTCGTGATGAATCTGTGTCCGTTTGCTTACGAGAAATTTGTGCGCCTGAGTCGAAGAATGCTCGGTGATGACATTCGGTGATATTGTGCCTCAAGTCGTTATCTATCGATCTTCTAATATCAATCGCAAACTGGATAATAATGGGTATCTGTTGGTCGAGACACTCCTCACTTATTTTTGATTGAATGTTTGTTTTGAACGGCAAAAACCATGCTGCCAAAGAGAGCCCCACACGACAGCTGTCTCTCGCTCTTTCTGTGCTCTCTCTATCACTGCCTCTCTTTGGTGCTCGTCGCTCTCTCTTCCCCCACAGAGGGAGGCAGCGATCAATGTTCGAAGTACTTCTGTGGGCTTCGTCGAGCTGCGCGCCTCATTCGCTTGCGTTGCTTCGACGCGTTCACAACGTACATTGCGTATACGAAGCGTGGGCTGTTGCGTGTGTTGCACGAATGTGTACATGACAAAAGGTGCATGAATGAACGAACGCCTGTCGGTTGCCTGTGTGTGCGAGTGTCTTTATGTGAGTTCTCTTTCGATATTTACGAAAATTCGCTGACTTCCGTTCCGTTGCTCTTCGCTCCGCTCCGGTCTGTTCCCGTGTTGGGTTGTGTCTCTGTGTGTGGCAAAAAATCATTTCTAATTTTAAAAAAACAAAACGCGTATACACACACATCTGTCTCCTTAGAGCTTTCCCCCCGCTCGAAGCGGAGAAAATCCAACAAAACAAAATTAAAACCAAATTAATTTTTTGTGCAAAATTAACAGAAAGTCGAGACATAGACACACACACACACACACACACACGAAAAAACAACACACACCCATACATACACCTGTAAAAGTGCTAAATAACATACAGAAAAATAGATGGGGAAATAAAGTCCCACGATTTATATATCCATACGATCCAAACGAACATACATGCATATATAGTTTTCTGCTGCATTTGAATTATATTTATTTGCTTTTGTGATTTTTTTATTTTGCTTTGTTTGCTTTCCATATCAGTTTTTTGAACATTGTTTATTTTCCACATAAATTCTTCAGTTGAAAGTGAAAGCGCGACGCTGTCCCACGAGAAATGCTGTTGCCGGCGAGAGCGGACAAGTTATGCTAATGACATGGGACAAAGAGGACAACCAATCGATGCTGAAAGTAGACAAAATCAATGCAGAAAACATAGCAAATGCCAGCGGATAGTAACGGACAAAACGGACTTTAAATGAATAAAACCATAACAGACGTCAACGGATAATCACGGATAAAAGTATAATCAAATCTTTCATTTGAACCAATGCTAAAACTAGACAGATCAATGTAGAAAAGCATAGCGAAATCCCCCGGATAACAACGGATAAGACTACTATCTACTCTTTCAATCAAATCGATTATAAAGTTTGACAAACCAATGCGAATAAGCAACACAGATACCTACGGATAACAACGGATTAAACAACAATCAAATGACAAATCAATGAACAAAATCCATACAAATTCCAGCGGATAACAGCGGATAAAACAACAATCAAATCTCTTTCACTAGACAAGAAAACACACACAAAAAACTCGACCAAGATGCGCTTGCAACATCGCTATAACCCCAATCCAGCCACAACAACAAAAACACAGACCATAGGCAATAACAACAACAGCACCAACACTAACATCAACAACAACAACAACATTATCATCAACAACAACAACACCAACAACAAGAGAGCCAAGAAATTGAACAACAACAGCAACGGCATCATTAAATTGCGAACAGCCACAGCAACAAAAGCCGCCATGCCCCCCGCCACACCACCCACCGTGCCCCCACCCCCAGTGGCAGTGACTAGGCACCACCAAATGCTGATGCTGGAGGAGGGCCCCATACAGTCGTCTCTGGTCCCCCAAAAACAGGAGGACGAGGACGAGGAGGAGGAGGCGGAGACCGAAACCGAAGAGCCCACAACCACGACTTCGGTTGAGCTGCGATCTTCGGCCAGCTCCCACTATCGGGCCTACACCACCATTCGCAGCAATTCAACATCCGCGATACTGGCCGGAGCGGGTCTGCCGCCTTTTGGGGGCCACTGCTCGCAGACGACACCCGGGATGCTCTATGCCCGCCCCCGCACCCTCAATGTCCACAATGTGTGCCAGACGCCCGCGCAGATCACGCAAATGTTTTTTGGGTACGTTTTTCTTTCCCTTTTTCTTTTGATTTCCATTATATTTTGGTTATGGCTTTTACTAACAGACTTACAAACACAACAAAAGAAACTGGGTTATTCGTCTTGAGAGATCTCTAAAACAGCCCTTATAAATGTGGCTTTGAAAAGTAAGGGGACCAAAGTAGATCCCTTAACATTCGCATTTTACCTTAACGATTGTAGCCTTTCGCTTATGGGGAACAAGGGGCCCATAAATCTGTCCCTAAGTAAACACCACAGAACTTTTCCCGACTAAGAATTTATGCTTCAAGGACAAGAAATAACCCAAATATTGCATCCATTTCAGTAATATTTGCCTAGGAAAGCCTTCGCCTTTTGGAGAAAGATAAATAAAAATTCGATTTATAGTTTTGGCCCATTCATCATTCCCTGTCTTCGATGGTCAATCTCTTTGAGATTAACCAAGGTCGCCGCCAAAAAGGAATCCCAGATGTATACGATCCAGGGGGTTCGTGTAAATATTTATGGGTGGTTTTGATTCAATTGATGGGCCCCTGTTGTATATGCCGGATCGAAGCAGTTCAAAAAGTGTGGGGTAGTGACCTTATCCACAAGGTCTTGGTGCCATTAATCAACGTACCTTTCGATATTGAGTTTATGTATTTGTAAATTTGTTGATTTTTCCGGGAATTAAGATGCATAATTTAAAGGCCATTATCCCATAAGTTCTATTGAACTTTGGACATTTTCCGTGATTTATCACTGGAGCATTGTCTCACGACCTGCCACGCCTCTTCAGCATCATGGGGGCAGGGCTTCTCTCTCTCTCTCTATCTGATCCGTTCTGTTTGGTTGCGTTTCTCTCTCGTTTCTTGAGGGATTTTGTCATCGTTATTTTAAAATGTATATATTTATATTTATTTTGCGCGTGCGTTCAAAAACTGAAACACAGAAACGACACAGAAAATATTCAATTAATGAAATTACCATTCCCCCGGTGCAGGTTTCTCTTTGGTGCTGTGTGAAAATTCATTGAACTTGATCTTTGTGTGACAAAACCTCACACTCGTTGTTTTTTTTCCGACCATTTAGTCATCCAGAAAGGCGCGTGTATTGCATTTATTTGTATTCAAAAAATAATAACAAAGCATTAAAATGTCACAGCGAGAGCTGTAAACACGAACTCAAGCATCCAAGCATCGAGAGAGGAATATCGGGTGTAGCGGGTGGTTGTATCGGGTGTGTATGCGATTGCGGGTATCGAGTATACACGCTGTACGATTCGATTGGACATTTGTCTCAATTTGCATATAATAAAGTCATAAATAACCCAACAAATTGTCACATTTATAACATATTTATTGAGCACATTGCCTCCAGGCAGTGGCAATTGTGGTGGCTTGAGCAGCTAACGAACTATTGATACCCTGCATGAGGGCCACCCCTCTGTCACGATGTGTGATAGGAAGGAAATCAAATAATCCTTAATGTATCCGTATGGTATCACTCTTATCCCTTTTATCCGTAGAAGGAAATCAAATAATTCTGAAACTGGAAAAGTCGTAGAATGCCTCCTAAAACGATGTTCGTTTTATCCGTAGTGTTATATCAGCTCGCCCAGTGAGTTTTTGCTTAAATCTGTTTGAAAAAACTCCTAACTAATTATCCGGTTATCCAGTAGTCACACCTTTAAACGTATTTTTAGTACAATGACTATGTTTGTTGGCTTAAAATCAGATAATTATCAAGTTATCCGTAAAACCATTGCATTTATATCCGTTTAGCGACTTCTGGATACCCTGACTGTTCTGTCCATTGTGGATAATAGTTCCCACTCAATCTGTGGCCTAGAGTCGCTACGAGGAATCAAAAAAGTTCAATTCATTCAATATGTGGCCCTCCTCTTTGTGGTTCGATGTGATGTTCGATGGCAGAAATGTTTAATTTTAGCCATGATCTATTGTCGGCTCTGACCTTCCTCCGTGACACACACACAATTTGTAATCCATGGGGCACGTGTTGGCGATTTGCTAAGTATTGCCATTGCCCTGGAAATGGTGAGGGAGAATATACGATACGATTACGATTGTGAGGCCCATTCTGGTGGCCCTCGATAAAAGCAAAACAAAAAGAAAAAGAAAAAAGCGTCAACTAATTTCTGGTCATAAATCACGACGCTCTCTGGCGTTGGGTCATTAAAGACTCTATATGGACCGCAAAAAAGTTAAATTAAAAGAGTTGAATGCGTTTGTCTTTGCTTTTATTTCGCCTTAATTTGATTGTGCCGCTGAATGGCAGGCTCGGTCGTCTCTGTCTTTATTCCATTGAGATGTTGACGCCTTAATAAATCAAGCATTGACCGGGGCAGAGAATCGTCTGATGTCTGGGTTTATCAAAGGCACTTCAATTCATCTAAATGCCGCATTCCTTGTCAATTATTTCACTAGTGGCAACTATTTGTCTTTATTACTCGTACTCGAATCTCGTTTTTCTTCCTTCTTTTCGTTTATTGTTTTGTTATTATTCCGTCTCCCATATGATGTGAAGTGCATTTATCAATTTGTATAAAAAATACATACTCGTATTAATTAGCTGCTGTCTTCGTTTGCTTCTGGCTTCGTGATATTATGCTTTATTTTTAACTTGATTATGGCATAGTGCACGGCATGGCATGGCATTAAAATCCAAGCCGCAATCACTTTACGGAGAATTAATTTAATAAAATGCCAATTACCCTTTACTTCCATTTGTCTCAGCGCGGTTAATTCCGAGAATTCCCAGCACTTTTCCTTTAGCGTTAGCTAAATCCCAAATGCAGTAAGCGGCCAATGATATTTCGTTGTATTTTTAGATGTGTTTTAACAGGTTTTCCACTTTATCCGGATTACAGAGAAAACTCATTATTATGATGAAAGAATTTTACGGATTACATTTATGTGGTTTTAACATCTTTGTAGGTTTTTTTTTAGGTTCAATAAGTGGAGAGCGTGTAGATGTGACTACAAAGTGTTTTTAGCTCGAATGAAAAAAACAACACGTGACCAGGCCCGGCTGATTCCCGCGCTTTACTCACTAGCCGTCACAGTGTGGCTTAGCTGCACAGTTTTTGTTATCCAAATGCTTCATTTTTGATTTTAAATGGATTTCAATCGGCATAAAATGTTAAACCACATTCAAAAAAACATTTTGATTACATTTTTTAAATTTTCAAGTTTATCCGTTAGTTCAAAACACTTATCCGAATATCATTTGCTGTCATCCATCACCGAACCATTGCGAATTGCCATCAATGTCAGGTGGCGCATCTCGTCTCAGAAAAACATGGAGAAATCAATTAGGAAAATTACCCGCACACCCAATTCTCACACGGAGGGGCCCATTGAATCGACAATGAGATTCGCGGCGAATGAGAATCAGAATGCGCTTTCGTTGCGGAACTACGGCAATGAATAATAATGAATAAATGTGGTGGAAAATGCACTAATGGGCTTAGCAAATGTGCGCATTAATAATTCATTCGACATAATTGAGAAACGTGCGGTAAACAAATACCAGTTGAAAGATTGCAGAGAGTGCGGCACTGGTGGAGAGTGCACTGTAAACGTCCATCGGATCCAGTACCAAACATAAATATCTAGTAGCAAATGGCAAGTCGGAGTACGCCTCCACTGAGCTAATCGGTTAAAAATAACCCCCTCATCGGGAGCCAGAACCCAACTGCAGAATCAAAGCCTAGTCTGCTGCAGCGGAACTGCACTGCAATCAGCGCCTAAGAATAGGAATAGTCGTGACAGACGAACCACAACATATAGATGTGGTCGGGTGGGACGATAGCAGCCTTTTCCGCTTCAGACCCTGGATGGGCTATCTAAAGGGCAAACGGCCAAGCCAAAAGCATGTTAGGAGTACTTTTTGATTGCCCCGATAACGGCAGACGATAAGTGGAGTTATAGTTGCGATTAGCTGATAAATAGATGATCAATGGGCTGTAGTCATCGCCCAAATGGATTGGCTATCGTTAATAGTAACCCATTATCGTTGAGACCATCCGTTGATGTCACCTCTAAAAGAGTTTAGACATGATCTAACCCATCGGCAAATTTATTTGGTTCGATTTGATGTAATCTTTGGCAGAGAAAAAACATGTTGGAGTGAGCGTGGGAAGCATTCTCTTTATCCGAATTGCAAATGAGATCATTTAAAACAGAAATGAATGACCCATTGGATGGATGCTTAGCCAAAGTATGAAAAAATTCCTTATCCGCTTTATCCGAATGGCAAAAGTGATATCACGGGTCGCAGAAGTGATTGATAGGTGGATTATCCCATGGATGATTATCCTAAGAAATCTTATCCGCTTTATCCGAATTGCAAAAATGAATTGATTGTTTAATTAATGTATGGAGGATCATGCAATTGATGATTACCCGAAGTAACTAATGAGATATTATCCGCTCTATTCGAATTACAAATTCATCAAAAATGAATATTGCATAATGTATATATATATATTTTTTGTTTTATCTACAATGCCAAAATGATATATTTGGACGGAGAAATGTATGAGTGAATTATTATCCGAAGTATCAACAGATTTCTTGAGTCCTCACTCGCTTACACTCGCTTTTGGTACACGATTTATGTTCATATTTTGATGATGGCCAAATTATTGTTCGCTTGCACTTGGCATTGCTTTTCATGGCCGAAAAATGCCGTCAGTGACGTGCCCCCCTGACCATAAAATATTCGATACACAAACTAAATAAAAAGAGCGCTTAAACAATGTATGCTTTGTGTATATTTGATTTGCACTCGTCGCTTTATTTACGCGAAGCAGCATGTTCTAAAAATAATATACCATCCAAAAGCCAAAAGAAAGTGTGAATTTTTGAGGGCCATAACGGAGGCTACTTCATAATTTACAAAGCAAACAAAGATCGCCAGAAGCCAGCAGCAACAGCAACAATAGCAAACAAAAAAGTGTGTGTGGAAAGAGCTTAGCAGTTTTTATTGCAAAATAT